TTTATGACTTTTGTTGATTGTTCACTCGGTTCATTTAAGCGTGTGCGCATTGATCTGTACACATGGTTGTAAAATTTATCATTGTTGGGTGGTTTGTTTACCATCAATATGGGTACTTTTTGAATCGGGGTGACATCTAGAGATTGAAAATTGATATGAGACGCCATTTTTAAATCCAAGATGGCGGCTTCCAGTTTAAGAAAAAGTTAGAAATGCTGTCAAATACTTATAAATAAAGGTATTTTATTAATCGGGATAATGTCTAGAGGATGAAAATCGATATCCGACGCCATTTTGAAATCGAAGATGGCGGTTTCCGATTTACGAAAAAGTGGAAATACAGTCAAATACTCATCAATATTGGTATTTTTGTAATCGGTATGAAGTCTACAGATCGGAAATTGATATGCGACGCCAATTCGAGATCCAAGATGGCGGCTTCCGATTCCAGAACAAGTGGGAAATATTGTCAATTACCCTTCAATATAGGTATTTTTTGGAATCGCGATGATGTCTAGAGGCCGGAAATCGATATTCGACGCCATTTTGAAATCCAATATGACGGCTTCCTATTTCAGAAAAAAATTGGCAATGCTGATGCCGTCCCATCAATATGGGAATTTTTGGAATCGGGGTGACGTCTGGAGATTGAAAATCAATATCCGACGCCTTTTTGTAATCCATTAAATACCCATACAAACGGTTTTTTTTTAAGAATCCGGGTAACGTCTAGAAACCGGGAATCGATATCCGACGCCATTTTGTAATCGAAACGGCGGCTTCCGATTTGCGGAAAAGTGTCGAATACCCTAAAATGTGGGTATTTTCAGGATGGGGATGAGACATAGATGCCGAAAATTGATGTCACGCCGTCTTTTTTGGAATCGGGCTGACATCTAGAAGCCAGAAATCGATGGGCGACGCCATCTTGAAATTCAATTTAAGAAGAAGTATCAAATAGCCTACAAATGGCATCGAATATCGATTTTCAGCATCTACGCGTGGTCCCCGTTCCGAAAATACCCAGATCTTAGAGTATTTGATACTTTTGTGAAACCCTATGGCTGCCATATTGGATTCCAAAGTGGTATCTGATATCGATTTTGGCATCTACGCGTTGTCCCTGTTCTGAAACTAACCATATTGTAGGGTATTTGACACCTTTTCTGAAACTCTATGGACGCCATATTGGAGTCCAACATAGCATCGGATATCGATTTTCGGCAGCCACGCGTTGTCTCCGTTCCGAAAATACCCATATCTTAGGGTACTTGACACGTCTTAGGAAACTTGATGGCCGCCATTTTGGATTCCAAAATAACGTCGAATATCGATTTTCCGCACCTTCATGTCGTCTTCGTTCCGAAAATACTCATATTGTGGGGTGTTTGAGGCTTTCCCTGACCCCGATGGCCGCCATCTTGGAGTCCAGAATGGCCTCGTTAATTTAATTTTCGTTCAATATAAAATAATATATTATTGTTACACCTAATCTGGACGCCTTCTTTATCGGCAACCTATATTGTGCGGATACTATCCGGATACTATACTTTGATGCCTGCGTCGTCAGGTCGTGACAAGTCGAATGAGCCCCGAATTGAAGTGAAAGTGGAAAAAACGAAGGAAGCAGTTTTCGAGTCATTCATTGCGTCAATTGAAACAAGTCTTTGCTTCAAATGAAATGAAAAGAAGCACTCGACGAACGAAATAAGTGATAGTCCTGTCATGTTTGAAAAAAGGAATGTTCATCGTGACTCGATAACAAGAAACACGATGACTTACACGAAAATGATATTGCTCGAAATGAAACGATTTTGAGGAGAGCTGATTTTCTTTTCTTTGTTTCGAAAATGCAGAACCCTGGTACGGATAAATTAATGCAAAAAAAACTTTAATTTATAAAAAAAAAATATTAGGTAGTTCAGTTTGAAATCTTAAGCCCTGCTTTATATTTTTCAAAGATAGTCCGGATAGTTGTGAAACGCTTGTAAAAGGCAGTAACCACTGTCAAAACGTCGGAAATCTAATCAAAGCAGTCGTTTGATTCCACACTAAGACGCGGTCATTTTTATTTAAAAAAAATATTATTACATTCTTCTTCTTCTTTGCATTTCAAGTGGCAATAAGCCTAGCGCTTATTAGCTTATTGCATGCTCTCAACTTAGAGTTCTAGATGCATTTCCACAGTTATTAATTGAGAGCAAGTACAATCAAACTCTACACGGTGAACAAATTATAGCAGACACAATTATTTTTCCGGTCAAAATAACTATATTGTTCAATTGTTTTAGAGATAACCCGAAACTATAGTTGATTTGACTATATATAGAGGGCAACAACTATAGTCCATAGTTGGCTCCTCGGTTGGCTCAACTATATTTTTCAGAAGATGAACAAACGTCAAACTCCAAAATACAACTATGCTTTAGTTGATTCAAGAAAACTATGGTTAGGAAAGCAACATTTTACAATGTTTATTAGACGAACTGCTCTTCATTATCGACATATCAAGGAAGTTTGTTTTGCTTCTTTATCGATCTCAAAAACACAACTGCAAAATCATAAAAAAAGTGACCAAGAACATTCAACTTAGATTTGAACCGTGTTCATCTGCGTGAGAGCCAGCTATCTTATCGCCTGCTCTACGCATCACAAGTTAAAAGTGTGTGGATTTATGATGATCACTTGAAACCAAAGTATATAAATAAATTACATTTGGCGGTTGCTATAATTGATCAAAGTTATAGTTGAATTGAGTATAAGATGAACAGTTGAATCTATTAGGTAGATATGATTGAGTTGACGGTCGAATTAATGTTGAAATAACTATAGGTTTCTTTCAAACAACAATATTTTTCCATGTGAAAGTAACTATTAGGATTGTTATCTTAACTTAACGAATTTGTTCTCCGTGTATGCCCAGGGAAGTCGAGAAATTTTCCGACCCGAAAAAATTCCTAGACCGGACCGGGAATCGAACCCAGCCACCTCCAGCAAGAGCTTGATTTGTAGCTGCGCTGTTACCGACTGAGCTATGGGAGGCCCACACTAAGACTGCACTGCCTACAAAAGCATGCCTTATGGATGGGACTAGAGAGGGTCTAGTATAAGAGAGCAGAGGATTCAAAACAATGTGACTTGGCAACCTATGTCTGGGTGATTTCTAGCAACACTGCCAATGCAATCGAGATAAGTGCTGCTCGATTCAGCGTTGCCAGATATACCGATTTCCGAACTAGATACCGATGTACAGATAAGGTTCCTCAGAATACCGATTTTTGAGGTTTTATACCGATTTATACCGATTTTTTTAAATAATCAAAATGATTATTGCCTGCCAGCGCTTGAATTTCTGAGAAAATTATTGTGAGAGACTTGTATCTTTTAGAATTTTGAAGTTCTGAAACTTCAGAAAAGTTCAGACTTTTAAGACTTCTGTTAAAATTCTAAAACCCGGAAATTTCAGGAAAGTCCAGCGAACTCCAGTTAACTTAAGGAAACATCATGAATATTTTGGATACTTCACAAGTACTCAGTCGGCGCCGCCGGGATGTTCTGAGGGAAGTAAAGCCGTTGGTCCCCGGTCCATGAGTTGATGGGTTGATAGGTAGGTGTGGCGTCGGTAGCATTGGTGCTCAGCACGGAAAACAAGTTTATAATCAGGGAAGTCCCAAGTATTTAAAAAAAATATCAGAGTGCTCCAAAACAGCTCTATTAACTTAAGGAAAATTACATTACAGGTATTCCGAGGATATATGTAATATTATATTATATTATAAGTACATTTCAGGAATGTTCCAAAAACGTCAGGGGCATTGCGGAGACTTCAGGGATGTTTTATGACCATTTGGATTTTTTTTTTATCATTGGAACATCCCCCAAAAGCTCTTTCTTCCGGGATTATGTCCTTGTTTCTTTCAACTGTTCCGTTAGCTGGCTTCCGACTTCCTCCAGATTTTTTTTTCCAACATACCTTAGGATGTTTCTGCCAGCGTCTCCAGAAAGTTTCTTCCGTCTTCTACAGGAAGTTCAATAACTTCTCCCAGATATTTCTTTCGTCTAGTTCTGGAATTTTGTCCAGCTGGTTTTTTTTTTACTTCTATTGGAAGGTTTTTTCGAGCTCCTTCTGGCTTCCCCTGGAAATGGCTACTTCTGACATTTATTTCCGATTTCTGAAACTTTTCTGTCTTCCTTTGAATGTGAAATCCGTTTTTTTCTGAAAGTTTTTTTTTTTTAATTTTCGCCAGAAGTTTCTCAATTTATATCTTGGAAGTTTCGCGGATGTTTTTCCGACTTCTCTCAGAACTTTCCTCAAATGTCCTCCAGAAGAGCTTCTTTCTTCTTTCTCTGAATGTTATTTTCAGCTTCCTCCAGGAGCTAATTCAAACATTCCCGGAGTTCTCTTCCGGAAATTTTCGATCATAGTCCAAAAGTTCAAATTTTCGGTTTCAAAAACGGCAAAAATATAAAATTAATTAAAATAGTAAATACTGAAAAATACCGATTTTTTAAAACCTTTAATACCGATAAGCTTTAACACATTTTGGCAATGCTGGCTCGATTGGCTCTGGCTTTGACAGTTTGTTTGGTTCGAAACCAGCCAGTTCGCTCCACTCTACTAGACCCTCTCTAGATGGGACAACCTAGCTTTGATATTTGTCACATTATTTTCGAAACAAAATATGTAACTACTAGTGCACAGTGTAAAATGCCGGTTCTAATGGCTAACTCATTTCTAGCAAAATACACATGCGACTGCTATGCTTCTATGGACGGTGCATTGCACTGTCGACCACTTAAAATCTCCCAACAGCCTCAAATAGTTACACCGTCACCTAAAAAAAATATTCAAAAATTCCACCCGATTGGTCCACCGTTCGTCCTCAGCAGCCCTTTTACCCGGAACGATTTCGCACTAATGGAACGGTCATTTTTCTCCTTTCTAAACCACTCATTCCCCTCCGTCACCGCCATCACCGCCGGCTCCTTTGTCCCGATAGGAGCTATTCCTGGGTTATCCGCTGCACGACCGCGAGGCAACCATTATTCATCATTTTGCGTTTTTCAAAAATCCATCAAGCTTCCTCTATCCATACCTGCGGGCCGGGATCGCTCTTACCGTCCCGCTGGTGGATCGCCTCCTGCAGGTGCTATCGAGTGCGGGCACGACGCTGACGGAGTTCTTCATCGATGCAGCCCACGAGTTTGCCCTGCTGGCGTGGAATCGAGGCACCGGAAATCGTCTAACACCGGCCGCTTACTTCTGTGCCCACCCCGCCGAAGGTTGTGCCGTCTACGCCAAACCACTGACGCTGCTGCCGGAGGAAACATGTGTAAGTTTTCCCATCAACACTTGCTGTAGGTGCCTGTAGTAGAGAGTGAAAGTCAGAAAGGAAGCGCGTTGATGCACGGATGGATAGCTAATCCAGCACAAAGCAAGATCCTTTCTACCGTTTGTCCGATGTAGCAAAATGTATGCAACCGCAGTTAGCAACGGCCCCAAAAGGTGAACATTTCATTTTTCTGGGCCGCGCTCAAGCTTGAATTTATGATTGATTGATTCAAAGGCAAACATGCACAGGATAAATAAGTGAGAAATATTGATTTTAACCATTCGAAGAAGCAAACTTTTTGCAACTAGCTTTCAGTGAGAGTAAGGGGAATGACAAATTATTTCAAAGTTCCTTCAGCTACGTAGCATCGAATCGATTTCCTTAATTAAACATTGCTCACCATCGCATCGATTTCCAGCGAATTCCACGTGTCTGCGACCGTTCGATTCAATAATGTACAACCCATTACGTTTTTCCATTTCCTAGAACCATCACCCACCTGTTGCTGGCAGTAGTGGAACAGCAGCAGTGCCACCAACGGCATCGGCCCCAGCCCCAATTCTGTTTGCCGTGAAAACGTGCGAAAAGTTCCACGAGGAACGTGTCCCAGTACTGTTACACACCTGGGCACGCTATGTAGAACATTTGCGGCTGTACAGTGACACCGGTGGTAAGTTTTGCGCCAACCGTTCCGACACCAGCGTCGTCGTCCCTTTTTCTCCCGTAACCTTCGTCAAACACAGTATTAAATATTGAAAAATATCGATATCAAACTTTGATTGCATAACTTTCACATTTTTCATTCTCGCCATCGCTTATCCTTCGTGGGTTCGCTCGTCTCACTGCACTGGTCCCGGTTGGTCACACACAAACACATCGTATCCACCGCGGCGTCCCGACAGATGCCAACATACCGACGATTGCGACTAACATTCCCAACACCAGCATCGGTCACTGTGCGAAAACGTTGGGAATACTGCAACTGGTACACGAGGAGATGTTTCGCAACCCCGCGCTAGCCGATGTCAGATGGATTATGCTGGTGGACGATGATACCATTTTGAGGTAAGTGACGGGCGAAAACGAGGGAGGGGGGGGATTCCATTGCAAAATGTGGGTTTGTCATATAGGTGATGTGACTTGAGTCAATAAGGTTTGAGTTTGTGTTTACCAGCCCTGCTAAGAAGATCTGTTGAATGGCTGAAACAGGACTAAGATGGTCTGGGTAACAACCATATATTTTCCTCCACATGATAAGCTAAGGTCTGTCAAAGCAAGTTAAGAAAAGTCAGCGTCAAAGATAATTTAAAAAAATTCCTTAGCAACAGTGCGCAATGGTCCAGAACCCGTATTTACGATTTACGGTTTAGCGACTTGCAGTCAATTTAATTATTTGTAAGAGAGTTTGAACATACTGAGAGGTTAGCAAATATCATCGGTAAGAGACGTGTGTGTGAGAAAATTTGCGAAAAAAATCCGAGGGGGGCGACACATCTAAATCTCAAGTTTAGATGCTCAACAAATCTCACACTAGCGAATCAATCTTCGAAAAATCTTCTTTCATTTGTCGCATCTACTTGCGTCGCTCATCATCTTTTTGCTGGAAAGCTTCAAAATCGTCATCAATCTTCTTTCTATATACTCAGCGTGCGCGCAGCTAGCCACAGCAAAACACAATCTTCTTTGCATCGTAGATAGAGTCGTCCCCCTCGAAAAAAAATCTAAGGGCACCGGTGGGATTCGAACCCACCATTCTCATTCAGTACACGGGTGCATTGCCAATTATATAACGGTGGACCTATATGGTCTATGGATGTATTTGGTTAGTGACATTTGAGTTTCGAATCCGTTTCCCACCCTAGTCTTTTTTGCGCAAGCGTTCTACACAACAATCGTCTATTATCGACGATATGTGCTTGTACCGCAACCAATAAGTATCAGTAGAAACCAGGGGATGGATATGGCTGTCATATCGCTTAAGTTTGCTGCGTACCGAACATCTGCAACGTTGTCAGCGGTACCATGATATGTTTTGTTGTTTTGATGTTGAGTACGTGTATTCAGCTATATGTCAAACCCCTGGTAGAAACACTGGAATAAGAGACCAGCAGAGAAAAAATATGAATTCGGCAACAAGATAAACATCAAAGCAATCCTGGCATCACTTGCATTTGTAACTGCTTGCGAGTGACTTCGCCAATGCACCGACGAGCGGGTTCATGAGTGATTGTTAAACGATTTTAATACTCCTCCCTAATTGAAGCAAACCATTTGTAAACATTGCAGATTGGAACCGCTTTTGACAGTTCGATTGGAATCATACCCAGGGTTCCTTCCATTCATTTCGGCTAAAAAAATGTTTTATTAAATTATGGAATAATAAGATATTATGATTATAATTGGTTTGCGTAAGCAACAAGACAAGAGTGTAAAGTTTGTGTTTGACACATAATACTTGCAAATTTAGCTTTGACAGAGTCACAATGAGTGGTTTTCTGATCGCCTTTTCGCGAAGAGTGAAGAGCGAAGAGTGGGTGAGATAAATGACAAAATCGCTTATTGCGGCTCTCATGTAGCAAAATTGGCAGGTATTATGTGTCTAACACAAACTTTACAATATGTTCTTGTTGCATACGCAAACAAAATATTATCTTAATATCTTATTATTCCATAATTTAATAAAGCATTTTTTTTGCCGAAATGAATGGAAGGAACCCTGAATTCATAACAGTGTCTCCGCTGCAAACTGGGCTAGAACTGTGAAAAGACGGTCATGAATCTTGCATTTTAGACTAGTAGTGTCTTGAGGAAAGTTTCTGGATATAAAAATGCCCGTCTTTTGAAATTGACAAATAAATGATTAATCCTCCTAGAAGTGAGATTCAAAATTTAGTTTTCACAAAATTCCATATGCCGGTTCGGTGTCTTCGGCAAAGCTTTAGAAAATATCAAATCAAGAAAGTTTGCTGAAGACATTAGGTGGCTGTTTCTTCATCTCATTGAAATATGGAACGTTTTTGGTGGAAAACATCCTAATAATAGTTTCTACTTAATAATTAATTTCTTTAAACTTCTACTGGTTTGATATGTTCAACAAAATTGTTCAAAACATTAATATACATAAGTTTGATGAATATCATAGCACACTAGATCGCTAAATAGGTGCGTTATTATTGGTTTTTCTCCAAAAATATAATTTTTAGCCACATAATTACGATTTACTACCATTTCCCACCACATCCCACGACAAAACCAATAGGTATAGAATGTGTTTTCTTCAAAACATTCAACATTTCTTACAAAAACACGCAGAAACATGAATTATATGTGAAATACTGCAATGGGATGTTGTTTTTTATGGAAAACCCCTTAAAAGTGATTTTTTCTTAGATACAACATTCTTTGAACCTCTACTGCTTCGAAGTAGTGTCCACAATTGATCAAAACATCCGAACCGGCACATGAAGCAGAATTCCGTGGCCAAAAAGCATGCAAGGCTCTTGTACGAGCGTGTTTTGATAAAAACACAAGGGCTGTACTTTGATCGATGACGAAACATACGTCAAACTCGATTTTAAGCAGCTTCCCGGTCAATGTGCCGGGAAGATTCAAGTTCGTGTTTGCCGACAAGTTCGCGAAGAAGGCCATGATTTGGCAAGCGATTTGCAGTTGTGGCCTGAAAACGGAACCATTCGTCACATCCTTGACGAGGACATCCCAAGTTTACATCGAAGAATGCCTGAAAAAGCGTCTATTACCGTTCATCCGGTAGCATAGGGGCAAAGTTATCTTTTGGTCCGATTTGGCCAGCTGCCACTACTCCAAGGTGGTTCTGGAGTGGTATGCTCCCAACAAGATCGATTTTGTCCCCAAGCTAATGAATCCTCCGAATTGCCCGGAATTTCGTCCAATCGAAAAATACTAGGCAATTTCAAAGCAGCGACTTCGACGAAGCGGCGGGGCAGTCAAGGACATCCAGCAAATGCGGGCACAAAGGAAGAAATGAACTGATTCCGTGCCCGTTTCCACTGTGTGGGCTCCATCAAGAGGATGGTTCGAGATTTCGTTCCAACTGGAGAAAAGTAACCATCTTATGCTGTAACTTTGAAGTTTTAATAAAAGTACTGTAAAGCAACCATTAATGGACTTTTTAAACTTATTGAATCACGAATTACAGGACTTTTTGTGCGTACCAATTTACTGTTAGTCAGCCTTTATGATGGCAAAACAAATGCTATCATACATTAAACTTTACACGAACTATACACCCAACCGGGAAATGTAAGATTACATTTGCAAGAAAAGTATGCAAAATTTGCAATGTTTTTTAAATATGTTTGTAATATTTATGATAGCTTATTTTTCAAGTAAAGTTTGCTTCCCCAAATGCATTGTGTCTAGAAAATAATCTCGTGAAGGTTTATATATCAAATTATGCATTTTGGAAAAACTTGCTTGTATGCTGCAGTCTAATCCAAGCTTACATTCGATGTAAGAGAAATTCTGTTTAATCAGACCTCGAAACAGTGTTGTTAATTTTCAAATCATTCGATTGAAAATGAACCAATACAACCATTGAATCAATTCTGTGAAAACGAATTCTCACATGACCATCATTTGAAGAGCCCCTTTTTCATTCGAAGCTCATCATCACTGTCAATGGTGTCATTCACTATCATTAGATATACGATAGTGGAGTATGGAAGAAACCCAGCCAAATGGTCCCGAACAGACAAGTCGACCCGATGTCGAATCAATGTAAGGCAAATTTTAGGTCGATGTCGACCCAATATCGTGTTATTGTCAAGTCAATTTTAGGTTTATGCCAGGTCAACATCGGGTTGGTGTCGTGTTGGCTTAGCTTTTTCGCCGCAATGTCGACCAGAGCTCCGTTTATGTGTAGGTTACACTCAATTGAATTATAGTTTTCCCCGAAGAACGCGTTACCCACTGAGTTCCACCCACCGCTTTGTCACGGTGGGTTTTCAACCAAGCGCTCTGATTTTCTGTGAGTGACTAGTTCTCCATTGGCACTACTCACATGCAAAAAATCAGACCGACTGGTTGAAACCCCGCCGAGAAAAAGCGGTGGATGCAACTCATTGGTTAACTAACGGCGGAAAGCTGTCCTAGCTCGCTGTCCTACTCTCTATATGCAATTTTCACACTGCCGTACTCTAAACGGAACTATCAATTCTATACTTTCATCTCCTCCTCATCTATCGTATAAAAATTACCACTTTAGTCTGTTATTTGAAATTAGCATCTTCAACTATGTAAATCGCTGACTTCACGAAGAAGTAATACTAAACATATAGTCGAAGTGCCGATCCTCTACCACCACTGGAAAAGTATCGTTTCTTTACCGAACTAATCTACAAAAGCGCATTAGAAGCTCAGAAACGATGTGTTCCAAGTGCATCCCTCAAAAGAAGACCCACCACTCCTGGATAGGATGACGAATGCACAAAGTTGTATCTTGAGAAATCCGATGATGAGATTATCGTAAACATGAAAGATCAGAGCTTTTTGAAAAGTATCTAAAGCTTGAAAAAAGCTTAAAAACTTACTAAAAGCAAAGAAACGAAATTACTGGCGTACTTTTATCGAGGGACTTTCTAGAGAAGCCTCGATGATAACGCTTTGGAAAAAGGCTCGCTATATGCGAAACCGCTCATCTTCCAATGAGAGTGAAGAATACTCCTCCCAATGGATATTCGACTTCGCTAAAAAGGTTTGTCCAGATTCTGTTCCAGCACAACCAACTTTACGGGATACAGCCCGAAGTAACGGTTCTCTGGATGAACCATTCATAATACTGGAATTTTCAATGGCACTTCTTTCATCGAATAACTCTGCTCCGGGAAGCGATATGATGAAATTCGACCTTCTAAAAAACCTCCCCGATATCGCTAAAAGACGATTACTTAACCTATATAATTCGTTTATGGAATTCAATATAGTTCCGACCAGCATGGAGACAGGTTAAAGTAATAGCTATTCAAAAGCCTGGGAAACCAGCGTCTGATCACAATTCTTACCGTCCGATCTCTATGTTGTCATGC